CCATCGCTAGTAGTAGGTTGGAGGCCGTTGCTATCAGGTTGGAGGCCATCGCCAACAGGTTGTGTGGAAACCTGTGGGGACGAAGTGGTCGGACCAAGTGGTCGGAGCAAGGTGGAGTTCTTGCAGCACTTTCTGCGGCAGTGGCTTCAGAGTTCGACAGGTCTCATGTCCTTCAGGCCAAGCAACTGCTGTTACACGGAGCAACTCTCGTTTTGGTTTGCCGTTGGCGTTGCAACTTCGGTATGTTTTTCTCTGTCTGTGATTCTCAACGCATTATCAACTTTCATCCAAGATTTGTCTTTATATCATTTACGTAATATCTCAAAACATATACTGTATATATATATATTTATGATACACACTTTACCAAAAAAACTTATATCATGTTTTATTTTTCGTTCAGTTCTCGACATCACTTTGGACAAATGCAAGATGAAATCAATTTATTCAACTGCAAGGCGTGGAGAGTGACTGCTCCGATGCGAAACCTACAGCAATAGAGGAGTGCAGAGAGGCAGAAGAAACCTCATGTGCACGCTGCTTTCTCTCAGGGTGAGTCACCCAAGAAGGGAGGCATTCACGAAACCGGACTATGTTTTTTTACTTTTTTTTCTGATGATGGCAAACCAAGATGAACCAAGTAAGTTGAACATTTTGGTGCTGGTCTGGTGCCAGCGCTGCGAAAGCCTAAGCTGAATTGCTCCATCTTGCTCCCTACATGACGATCTGGAATTTACTGGCAGTGTTAACGGGCCTCTGTGCTTTTTGAACAGGTGGGTAGCTGTCAGTGGCTTGTGTCTTCATGGTTTGTGACCTAACACAGAAGTGTGGCTTTGACATTGGCATGTCACTTTTTTATTATGTCTTCCATTTTTAGTATATATATATATACACAATTTTTTTTTCCAAGACGGGCATGCTCCATGCTCAAGGTCCGCCTGCTCCAGCTCCTGCGGAAATGGCTCAGTTACTCGGACAGTTTCCTGCCAAAGTGGACTTCAGGCAGTTGTGCGCCGAAGCCATCACTGTGCTTCAGGCAGTTCACAGCCGAACACATGCGCTTTAAAATGTCAGGCGGATTGCTCAGAGCCTGAGCCTGCGAGCGAAGACGCTTGCTTCTCTTCCGCGTGCAACTGGACTGTTGGCCACCTAGTTGGGGAAGCTGAGAGGCAGGATAAAACGTGTTGGAGAATCATCCAAGGTCACAGACTGGTCCTCTTGCAATGCTCCTTGGAACGCAAATAGGTCTCAAGGACTTGCCATTCTGCCATTCATTGGTGCAATTTCAGGTGACCTGTGGCTCCGGTTTCCAGGAACGTGAAGCTCTCTGCCCGGTTAGAGCCCAGGGGACAGTTCCAGGGGACAGTTCCAGGGACGGTTGTAGGTGATTTTCCTGAGCTATCTTGATGCTCAAATTATTGTGTATCGTGTCCTCCATGTTCATACATCCAAGTGCAAGTGCACGGTGCATTTTACTGGGTGGCACTTGGTGATCTCTCATCGGTCTCTCAATCGGCTTCTGTGCTGCCAACTAGCCATAAAGTTTCCAAGCTTGCTATAGCTTCCATGACATGCATTGCATGCTGCATGGGACTGAGCATGCGATCACGAGCTTGTTTTGGTGCTTTCCTGTTTGATCTCGTTTCCTGGAGTTGTGGCCCCACTTGACGGCGGCCTTACAAGTTTGTGTTTTGTTCACGATGTTCAGTTGTCATCGCAGTGTAGCTACTTCTGTCGCTTTCCCAGCAAGGCCTGCTGTAAATAAAGCATTGACATAGCCTTCCTATCGGAAAGAACCTACTGTATTCCTGAGATGTCTCCATTCCTGTCCCCGTTATCATTTTGATAAAACAAAGCAAAGCTTTGACTTCACACTGTGAAGTCACGCCTCTCAAGTCAGAGCTGCTTGTGGCCTCCAACAATCATACAAACCGGAAAACAGCATAGGATACCAGAGAAGAGAAAACACTCCGGAAGTCACCTGCCCAAAGCAGTTTGGGCTGCACATCAGTTTCTCGCCAGAACGCTCAGAACGGACGAAATTATCACCGAAACAAAGGTGTCGGTACTCTTGTCAGGCCAGGCGCTTATTTTGCATTGTTGTGGGCACTTGTGTCAATCCTATGTCCGTTTTGCTTCCTTCCACCAATATGTCAAGGTGCATGGGGATGCCACCAGGGTTGGTCAGAGAGACATAAGGAAGTTTGTCGGGACGAAGTCTGTCAGGTTTTAATTGGCCTTATCGGCTAAGTTTGTTTGCACCAAGGAGGTTGCTCGCCACAGGAAACTAACTGTGACTTTTGCCTCTTTTTGTTTCCCGCTCGAATTGCTTTTGTGTGCACGAAGGGGAAGCGCGTTCCACTAATGCTACTTGAATCTGCCTAGAAGCAATTTCAGTCTGAGATGATAGCAAAAGCGCAGCCATGGCTTCTGCGCACTCAGGGATTCTGTGTCTTTGTCTGCGATCTCCTCATTGCATCTTTCTGTGAAATGGTCTCCCTGCCTGAAGGTGCCAATTGTCAACGTGTCTTCGACTTGTCTCCCTTCATGCACCCGTTTTGGCACAGAAAGCAAGCTTCTGCTGAGTTTACATATTTTGGATATTTCGGCGCACTCGAAATTTGACAAATTCACAGTCTGCTCAAGGCTAGCACTTGTGTTGGAGATCTTCCGGCAACCCTGCAATCTTGTGTCCTTGCCTTAGACCCTCACGACCTTGAAGGCTGCATGGCGTTTGTGATTTGACAGTGATTTCAATTATATCTTGTTTGTAAAGCCACATTCATAGATGGATTGGATGGTCACGGCACTTGTCACTTGTCAACTGCGAGGTTGGTCGCTCCGAATGCACTTGGCAAGTTGGAGAATGGGGTCCATGCAGCACCAGCGCCTCAGCAGACTCTGGCCAATTCAGTTTTTTTGCAGCAAAGATTTGGGTGATGGAGGCTGTGGCACTGGCATGAGAAATAGATCATTGCAGTGGTCTCAGTACAAGAAAGCCTTGCAACATTCTTGTGCGAGCAGACAGTTCTTGCGAAGTTTGCAGAGGTCCTGCCCCTCTGAGTACATCGAGGACCCATACTCAGAATCTGAAGAATCCATACCGATGCACCACCGCACCACCTATGAATGTATTGATACATGATGTCAAGAGCAACTTCTCTTGACCTCCCAATAGAGCTTTGCTCGGGTCCACTTGGAGTGCTCCCTGGTGCGGTGCTCGAGGACTGTGGGGATTTGCCAGCTGCATTTGAGCTTTGTACCTCGTACAGTGGATGTGAATGGCAAGCAAGCTGCCAAGATATCCAGACTGCAAGATTGGCTTGAAACAGACTGCAGAATTTCAGGTTGGGGAGTGGTCACAATGTGATGGTAGCGGATGCGGTCAGCGAGTTCGTGCTGTTTACTGTCAAAGTGGACAAGCTCAGGAAGGGATGGCGACGAAATAACGCAAAGGAGGGATAGATCGGCTACATAAAGACCAATAGTGGCCAACAAAGCTGAGACTTCTAAAGACCAGTAGTGGCTTCGGAAGACATGGGTTTCTTTGCAGGACTGTGTGGCAGATCAACCCGCGAACATCACGACCTGCGATCTGCAGGCCAGCAAAGGTACCTTTTGATATAACGTCTATAAGTGTGAATCCTTGGGTTTTTGTCACAGGTGTCTTGGACGCTCACTTGCACTTGTGTTCACTTACAATCCGCTGTAGAAACGTCAGGTTTGCATGGAGGTCACCGAAGAGTCAGCTAGCTTTGATTTAGTGCTTGAAGTTGACAGCGAGACCAATGTTGGCGACCGAGAGAGAGAGAGAGAGATAGCAGTGTGCACTGGTGCTGAGAATCAAGGTAAACTCAAATATATAATGCTCAAGCACTGGCCATTGAGTGTCGCAGACTACTTATACCACAAAGGAGTATATATCACCAAACATGAATACATGTATCCATCGAGCTGCAACCTCAGGTGGAAGGTGTCAAAGAGTCACTTCAGGAGGCATGGACGGCTTGTCACGGTTCAACAAGTGTATAGCAAGGGAATTGTACTGGTAAGTTGAACCATGAATGTCACTGAGTTTGATTTTGCTATGTTTACTCTGACCGTCTCTGACCTCATAAGGCCGTGGCTGAATCCTTGAATGTTGATGTGGAGGCCATGGCCCTTGGCACTGATAATGTGATTATCAATCTGGGAATGAGGATAAAACATGTTTTGAATAAGATCTGATATTGACATTGACCATGCAACACAGATGTTCTGCGCCGAAGCTGATCTCCTCAGCCCTCCTCTACTGGATGTCTCCTCGCTACTGTAAACCCTCCAGTTTCAATAATACAAGAGAAGTGGAGAACAATTCTGCAGTTTTCCTTTCTTTAAAGCAAACTATTCGCAGCATAAGTGCTTTGAGGCAGTTTCTGTGGAGATAGCGGACGGCAGAAGGTCACGGCTTGCTGAAGCACATGCTGAAACACGCTTACCTATTGCACTATTGGCCTCTCTGCACTATTGCTTTGAGACAGTTGTTCATGAAGTGCACTTAAAAGGCGATCCTGTTGCATATTTCTCTGCTTGGAGGTTGGCTTCGACTAGGTCGCTCCAATTCCTCGTGCAGGCCTTTTGTACTCAATACAAGCAGTTCCTGAAGCCGGCGGCGGAAGTTTCCTATAAGACAATTTGACCTATAGGCAGTGTCCCGGTTCTTTCCACCATGCGCTCAGTCAGACGCATGAGTGATGAGTGATGAGTGAAGCATAGCTCTAGCTCTAGCTCCACTAAAGCTAACTGGAGCTAGACGTTAACTATGATGTGATAGCTTGTCTGGACACGAAGCTAATTAGCTCAAATTTGTCAACCTCTCAAAACGCATGTTTTGAGGTCTCCAGAAAGTAATCGAAGTGACCACTTTTGAGTAAGCAACGTAGCTAAAATTTGTCTACCTCTCAAGAGGGCCGGGTGGTCGGGAGACATGACTCAGCTGCAGGCGCGCCAGAGCAGCCGCGAGAGATGACTCAGCCGCAAGAGATGACTCAGCCGCGCACTGAGGTTGTACTACCAAGTCGCCAGTTCTCAGCTTCCAGCTCCACAGATTGCTCCGCATACTAAAGTTGTACTACAAAGTCGCCAGTTCTCATCTTCCAGCTCGCCAGATGCTCCGCGTACTAAAGTTGCACTACAAAGTCGCCAGTTCTCAGCCTCCAGCTCCCCAGCCTACTCCGCGTACTAAAGTTGTACTACAAAGTCGTACAAAGTCGCCAGTTCTCAGCTTCCACCTCCACAGATTACTCCGCATACTACAGCGCGGTTCACGCAGATCGATGCCTCCCTGCCACGAATTCTGCACATGGAGGTTGACAAAGTGCTGCGCCTGCCACGAAATCTGCACATGGAGGGTCACAAAGTGCTGCACCTGAAATCTGCACATGAAGGTTCACAAAGTGCTGTGCCTGCCACGAAATCTGCACATGGAGGTTCACAAAGTGCTGCGCCTGCCACGAAATCTGCACCTCGAGGTTCACAAAGTGCTGCCCCTGCCACGAAATCTGCACATGGAGGTTCACAAAGTGCTGTGCCTGCCACGAAACCTGCGCATGGAGGTTCACAAAGTGCATCTGCGCATGGAGGTTCACAAAATGCTGTGCCTGCCACGAAATCTGCGCTTCGAGGTTCACACAGTGCTGTGCCTGCCACGAAATCTGCGCATGGAGGTAAGTGCTGTGCCTGCCACGAAATCTGCGCATGGAGGTTCACAAAGTGCTGTGCCTGCCACGAAATCTGCACATGGAGGTTCACAAAGTGCTGCACCTGCCACGAAATCTGCGCATGGAGGCTCAGAAAGTGCTGCGCCTGCTACGAAATCTGCACATGGAGGTTCACAAAGTGCTGTGCCTGCCACGAAATCTGCACTTCAAGAAACAACTGAAACCTCTAATCACAATGGAGAGACAATTCCGACCATGATCCGACCATGATCCGAGCATGATCAGAGAATGACCCGAGACCGTCTTGCACACATCGTTCCACATAGAGCTTGACTGGCCAGCTTCGGAGCCACCCTCTCTACTGGAAATCACAGCATTTCGTGCGTCCGCTATCTCTCGAAAACATATTTTGTATTGCGCCTGCCACGAAATCTGCACCTCAAGCTTCACAAAACGTTGTGCCTGCCACGAACTCTGCGCATGGAGGTTCACAAAGTGCTGTGCCTGCCACGAAATCTGCGCATGGACGTTCACAAAGTGCTGCGCCTGCCACGAAATCTGCGCATGATGCTAACTGGAGCAAGAGCTGACTGGAGCTAGAGCTCTTGAAAACTGGATGGTGAGTGGTGTATGATGAGTGGTGTCTGATGAGTGGTGTATGATGAGTGGTGCAAGATGAGTGGTGTGTGATGAGTGGTGTATGACGAGTGGTGCATGATGAGTGGTGTATGATGGGTGGTGTGTGATGAGAGGTGTATGATGAGTGGTGCATGATGAGTGGTGTCTGATGAGTGGTGTATGATGAGTGGTGTATGATGAGTGGTGTATGATGAGTGGTGTCTGATGAGTGGTGTCTGATGAGTGGTGCATGATGAGCCCTTGCATGATGAGTGGTGTATGATGAATGGTGTTTGATGAGTGGTGTATGATGAGTGGTGTATGATGAGTGGTGCATGATGGGTGGTGTCTGATGAGTGGTGTATGATGAGTGGTGTATGATGAGTGGTGTATGATGAGTGGTGTATGATGAGTGGTGTATGATGAGTGGTGTATGATGCGTGGTGTATTGATGAGTGGTGTATGATGAGTGGTGAAAAGATGAGTGGTGAAAAGATGAGTAGTGTCTGATGAGTGGTGTCTGATGAGTGGTGTCTGATGAGTGGTGTCTGATGAGTGGTGTATGATGAGTGGTGTCTGATGAGTGGTGTAAGATGAGTGGTGTCTGATGAAAGGTGTATGATGAGTGGTGCATGATGAGTGGTGTATGATGAGTGGTGTATGGTCAGTGGTGTTTGAGGAGTGGTGTATGATGAGTGGTGTCTGATGAGTGGTGTATGATGAGTGGTGTATGATGAGTGGTGTATGTTGCGTGGTGTATTGATGAGTTGTGTATGATGACTTGAATGTCCGCGACACGGAAGTTTCGTCCACTAAACTTCCTTTGATAAATATATATATATATAAGGATATCATTATGAATTATAAAAATTGCACCCACAGATTTGGGGCATGCCCTTTTGCACCTGTGCCGATCTCTTTTTGCAAAAACCCAGAATTGACAAGGCATTGATGAACCTGCACGTTTGAAATTTGATTCCCGGACTCCTGCGCCAGGTCAGAGATGTTACAAAGGGCCTGTCGGAATTCCTATCATCCGAATCCAGCCTGGGTGCTGTAGCCCAGGATGTGGTGAAGGCGCGGTTGCTTTTAGCCTTCAGAATAGTTCTTCAGACTTTGCTTTTTGTTTGATAGGATACTGCAGATAAAGGACTCTTCTGCAGGATATCAACCTCAAGAAACTAATCTTAGGCCTTGGTCAGAGGTGATGATCGCCACCTGCCCTCAGTGGGTGTTCTGCAACACCACCTGTGATCCTGCCCATGGCTCCAGGCAGCTAGCATCTGTAAATCAAGCAGAGATACAAGTCCATATCAATCTTTGCGCAAGAAAAGAAGGAGATTTCACAGTGAATCTCAAGGACAATCATGGAAAGGATATGGTAAGGAAATGGAGGACGCTCATGACAATTGCCACAGTAAGGCACATCCATGTGTGGCAGGCACATCACATGTCTTCAGGCCTGAAACTGAAGATCAAAAGGGCTCCAGCATCATTTGAGACCTGAGCAAAGACAGCCCTGGGTTGGTTGAAACAGTCGTGTTCAGGACGCGTCCAAACGAGCTGCCTCAGCACCACCTTGAGCCCTCTTGCAAACAAGCATGAAATGCTTGAAGTCAACTTAGATTAAGCATGATGCAGCTGGCACTAGGGAACATCTTTCGGTACCCAGTTTCATCTCAAGAGAAGCTTATCTGATCAACGGCTTGGTGGGTTAGCGAGCAGATGGCAACAGCAGTGGAACAACAATGCTGCTGGCTGATCAGGTTGCAAAGATTGGTAAGACGATCCAGCAAGAATATTGTCCGGTGGAGCAAATGAGCCAGGGGTGCGGCCCATCTCGGGGTGAGGGCTTATCATTGTAAGCTTCACAAGTCCAGTGGGCCTGTCAGATCCAACATTTCTGTGGGTTGGGGGAGGGCTAGGCCAGCTGAACTATGCCCTTTGTACAAGTCACCTTGGCTGGGCAAACACAGCTGCTGTGACTTTTGGATGCTGATACATGCTGTCGCCATGTCTTTGCTACGCGCGCGCTCCTGTATGAATATCATCCAATATCGATAAACTGCCTAAGCTTTCATTACCTTAAACAACTTGGATTTCGGAAAGCCTACTTTTGCGTCGGGTACCGTAGCGGCGTAGACCTGATGGTTCTTCACTCTTGGCCTTGACCCTTTGCACCTCATCAACTTTGTTGCTTCTTAGAAACTAAGACTGTCAGACGGTCTAAAACTTATATGAGACTTGTATATTGATATTAAATAATTACAGTACCCACATGTCAAGCTTTTGTTGTGCATTGGCTTTACAATTACGGCGGTGTAATAGATCCCTCAGAGGTGCTTGGTCTTTAGTATCACTGCTCACTGCTACTGGGCACAAGAGCACTACAGAATGCGCGCGTATTTGGCAGACTACACAGCTGGATATTCAGAATTCTGCTAAGAGGAGCTGGAAGCAACGGGCATCAACGCTGCAGTTCAAATCAGCGTGGGGGCCTGAGAAATCCTGTTACGTTGCACGATGGCCTGCACGCCTGGTTCCCATTGATACTCTGATATGTATATATATACTTTTCATTTGCTTTTCTTTGGTCAGGTGCGGCTCGAAACTACTACACTTCCTATGACGACTACTACAAGTGCAGCCACGACGCCGGTTAGCTCCGTCGCAGCCACATCAGTTACAAGTGAATCCACTTCTTCCATGCCTTTCACATCTTCCTCGTCAGTGGGCAAAGCCCTGAATGCTGCCCGCACCTCACTCCCACACAAAAAATGCTCGAGAGAAGCAGGGTTCATTGGAGCACCTAGGAGTCATCAACGGCCCAGGCATGGTGTAGAGAATTGCTTGTTGCTGTTTGAGTTTGACTGAAAGATTGCGTGACAAAGGCATACAGTATGCATCAATGTGCATGTATCTATGGTTGTCGTGGATGCTGTTTGCTTCATAGGAGACAAGTGTGACTAAGTCTACAAGCTCAGCTGCCCTGTTCTCAGAACAAAATTTCGACACTGCGAAAGAGCCACACATTCCTTTATGTCCCAATGTTGTGACACAGACACACACACACACACACCCAGAGTATGTGAAGCTTTCGAGACCGTGTGACCTCGACGATCATTTATTGGCACGTGGCTTCGGCTTTCAAAACATTGGCACGGAGATGCACGAATCCACTTTACCAGGCAAGCACATCTGCAGCCATGGAGGTCAAGGCACGCATTTTTCACGGTCCCCAAGACTTGTTTTCTTGGTTGTTTCAATGATAGCATCCCTCTAACTCCTGTTGATGAGGTCTTACAAAGGAAAGCACAGTCTTACAGCCTTACGGGTTTGGCAGAATACTTCCCAAAGGAGCAGCATTGCTGCACACTTCACTAAAACGCGGAAGTACTTGTGCAAGTGTGCACAGACATTTGAAGCTTTTGGAAGGTTGTTGTGGATTTGATATAGGCCTTTGCCCTTGAACGTTGAGCAACTTAGTTTCAATGGAAGTAGCTATTGTTGCGGAACTCTGATTTTCATTCCAAGAGACTTACAACAGTCACGAAAGAAAGGCACTAAGTTACGAAGTTTTAGTGTGCTGAGCTTTCGACACCACTAGTTGATCATTAAAGTTGGCACAGGGGTCCTGGGTGTACAACATTTGGGCGACACGTTCATAGCGTTCATAGCTGCACAACCGATGAGGGCCGATCCATCCATCGAAGTCCTTTCTTTGTATATATATATATATATTGGATAGAAAATAATGAAAAACCTGCACGACTGATAGGGGCTTGGTAATGAGGGTGGTGTGAACTACCAAATCTAAACAAGATATTGCCAGCACTCATATCAGCTATGTAGAGCTCGCTTATGCAATAGGTGGGTGAAGAAGCCACGCTTAGCGCAGATCCTGAAGATGCACACGCACCCCAGGCGAGAACGCACTTGTGTTTCAAGACACAAACAATAAGGCCCTTCAAGTTGCTGAGGACTTTGTCATGATACCTGTGGTTGGACTGTCACTGGCTGTCCTCACCTCAGCCTTGCTCACACAAATGGGGGACTCTCACAGTGACTACGCTTGGTGACACTACACTTGGCTCTAGAACTACATGTGGAATAAACATGGCAGCACAAAAGGGCCGCACGGTGTTCTGTTTGGATTTGGGAGTAAATAAGTAGACTCGGCCTTGAGGCACTTGTGATCTTTGGAGGCTTGATATGGAGAGGACGTCACAGGCAGCTTGCATACTCTGCTTTTTCTGAAGCCACATGCTTGACAAACATGAAGATTCTTGTGATTCTGTGCTTTCGCTTTCCAGCTCTCAAGCAACTTGTTTTCCTGCGTTTTGCTTCAGTTATGGGCATTGAGTAGGTCCCACGAACAGTTGAACGCAATGAGTTACAGGCAGCTCCACACAGCACGGCCATCACCAACGAAAGGGGTCCGCGTCCTAAAGCCGAAGGCATAAATGCGAAGGGTGGAACACCAGTGGTGTCCAGAAGCAGGGAACTTGTGTGGCTATGGCCCAAGCATGTACCCAAGCCCTCTGATGTAAACAGGAAAATGACTCAAATCTGCGGGTCGCTGGGTGTTACTTTTTCAGACACACTCGGATCATCCCATATCCTGTTGTCCCGTTTGGCATCTTGAGGCTTGGACATCGACAGAGATCCGCATGAATTTGTATCCTTGGGACTATGCAGCAGACACACTTGTTTGGATCTTAAGTTGAGCCAGCTTAGAGAATCCTCATGACTCATGAATCCATTATTTTGAGATTTGTCAACATGCCATTGTGCGCTCCCCATTTTCAGAAGTACAGTTTCTCAGGCGGGAATGATTTGGACAACTGTCAAGGTTCATGCAGAGCTTGAAGAGGACTTGGGCAGGAAAGAGTGTATTCTTTGACCTAGTAGCTTCTTTGGTATGTAATGGGTGTTATTCTTCACCAATCATGTGTTCCTTACATATCGTCTCCAGTCAGGAGGTGCCTCATGCCAGCCAAAGCCCGACCAATGGTTGGCCACTTAGTTTGTGGTTCGAGACCATGGTGCACATGTGCGCAAACATGGGCAATTTGGTTCGATTCCAGGCAGCTTTGACAATTGTCAAGACTGACAGGCAGAGTAACTTTGCACCTCAAAGATTCCCATAGTTTCAAGAGTGTGAACCATACTAGCAGAACCCAAAGTGGAACCAGAACCGTCTTGAGGGGAGGAAGGACCGACACCTGATTCTTGCGATTAGCTTGATGCTTTCGCCTTCATTGCACGCCGAAAAGACGAAACACCTGAGCAAACATCTTTTCAGAAAGCAATTTGTGCCGAGATTCTCCACCACATGCCGAGGTTGCGGGTCATTGGTGGCCCAATCTCCAAATCCAGCTCCGTCTGAACCACCATCCTTGCCCTTTGGCTCAAGATCTCAGAAGTCCAAGAGGAGGCTGATGAGATCTGATGAGTTGAAGCGAATATGTATTTATATCACACACACAGTGTATATAGCATCTATGTATATATATATACACACATACACGCAAGTATATCAGTATATGCGCACATAAAGTTAAAAGAGTTTCTTCAGTTCCTTCACTATTTTTGTCGCTTCAACCACCCCAAAGTATGACAAGGTCTGGATCTTTTGGATCAGAAGCAGGGCAAGCAGTGGTTGCAGCGGCTTCTCAGGCGAGGGGAGAGGAGATTCTTTTATAAGAGCACTATATTCCCCACGAATGAAATTTAGTTGCGACGTACTGCCAAGCCCTAGCAGACCATACAGGTCCGCACAGTTTGCACTGTTGCTGGCGCAGCTGCACAAATGAATCAGGCAGCAATCCCAAGTTGTCTCAGGAATGCTCATTGTAAGCATTTGACGCACGCATCCAAACAATTGCAACCCATGCTTTGGAATATGTTTCTGGATCCTGCCACCTAAGGCTGGCTTCAGTCAAGACGATGAGAGCACTAGACCATCGAGTGGCACATCTGGCAAGTCTCAAGCAGATACAAGCACTGCGCTTCCAAGCATTCCAGTCCCGGCTATTCCCACCACACTTCGGGCGGCGGCATCGACCAGACAAGACACTACACTCGCGCCGTACGACCTCTCACGACCTGACCCATCACAGCCGTCCAGACCCTCCAAGACACACAAGCCATCCATCACATCATTTCACAGCACAGCCCACCTTCCAATGCCACCTGCAATTTCCCATCAGGATGCATCGCCATCGTCTCTAAGCTCTTTTGGAGGGTCACCCACTGTGCGCCCGCCAAAGGGTTCGCCAGTGGTGAGTGTGCGTGTCAACAGAAGACAAGAACTGCCGAGCTCTAGTTCTCAACCACCACCAAACACTCTTGATGTACCTGGCGCTTCAAAGGCAAGGCATTGCTCGACTGGGCACAGATTTGCACAGATCATCAGAGATTCTGGTCTTGGCAGCTACAGTAAGTTTACAGCTTTTTTGTCCTCGAACAGCTTTCGATGCGGGCTTTCTTTGAGCAGAGTCAACGTCCACATATGAAGCGAGATGTGTGAAAACCGACTTGTTTGACAGGGAGCTGGAACATCGAGCTCTGGTGAGGTGGGATGCAGAGCTGGCGCAAGTGAATCTTTATCGCACATGTGTAGGTTGTCTTTTTTGGGACAGTTGTCACAGACAGGGCTTTCATCATATGCTTTCTGTGACATGACATTGCGATCTGAATATCTCCTCGCCGCTACATGGAGCGAATGCATGGAAGATCGGAAAAGCTTTTGATCCTGGCAGGTTGATCGGGAGCGGAAAGATTCTTGGGAATCCTCAAGGCAATGTGGCTGTCCTTTTGAGATCTGTTGGTTGTTTTCATTTTTTTCAACTACCGAGTGAAACTTTGCACACCAAGTGAAGGAAGTTATTTGCACATGAGTCTTTGCAGAGCCAGGACACCAATTTCAGAATCACCCCGCTCAGAGACAGGGTCTCCACCACGGAGGCCTGCTTCCATGTCGTTTTGTGATAAGAGTAACGAAGGTCGATTTTGAAGACAGACGAAATAAGTGCCTCGCTACTAGGAGCAAGTGCCACGCTACTAGTAACAGGTGCCTTACTAGTAGTAACAAGAAGCTAAGTGCATCGCTTGTAGTAACAAGTGCCTTACTAGTAGTGCTCCATGAGAAACGCTTCGAGAAGTACTCCTGGCTCCAGAGACTTTGGGGGGGACAATTTCTTCATGTTTTGGTAACATATGAAACATTTGTTTAATTTATAGCCTTATTCGAACATATTAACTTTATATATTTTGATGTAAACACAGGGTGCACTTTGAACCTCTTAGGCCTTTTTATGCGCTTTGTGATCTCTCCAATCCCGACAACACAGCCCCTTTGTATAGGAAGAAACATGTGTGTGGAAGTTGATTTTGTCCTGATGTTTGACACTTTACTTTATGTTGATGCTTGCTTCAAGCAGGCTCCGCACTTTGCTGCTCTGACTCTGTCCGACGGCTAGGATTCCAAGACACATGGTGCGAGCAGTCGCTGCCTCACCAATGTCACCAAGCGTCTTCCTTAGAGAATGAGCAATATTACTTTTCTTCAAAAGCAGGCGCTCTTGATACAGCGGAACCCGTATCAGTGGCAAGCAATACGGTAGACTTTTGCAGTATAAAGTAACTAGCAGCCCCCCTGAAACCTTCCTTGAAGTTCCAGCCTGCAACACCACTGTGGCCGCTCAAAGGCCCACAAAATTACCCAGTCAGCCACATGTACACACTCATTGCGGTTTTGCAGGTGATTCGGAGAGCAGACGATCCCACTCAGCAAGGCCAGCAATTTTGCTAGGGCATGTGGTCCTAACCGGTTCTTTGTTACAAAATCTGCGGCAGATGAGCCGGGGAATGGAGGTTTCCAAGAGGCAACAATCGGATGTGCAATATTGCAGGTGATGCAAGGTGATGTGCGGTGCGGTATGTGGTGATTGCAACGTGGTGAAGTGCAACAATCTGGTGATGTGGTGTGTGATCCTTTGTGGTGGCGTCATGTGGTGTGTGGCGGTTGTGATGTAGTGAGTGTAGTGTGGTGCATTTGTAATGTGGCAATTGTGGGAGTCAAGATGTACTTTGATACTTCTCTCTAGGTTCTTGCAACTCCCTGAAAGACCAATGCGAAGGCATTTTATTGACCCGCCTCCCATGTGAGCACACAGAGTACACACACATACATCATCAAAGTTATTTTCATCTACACTTCCTTTGACAAGCTACTATAAATTTCCTAGGATAAGTCAAGACTCAGTTCTTTGCCAAAAAGTGCGGACCGTGTTCCAGGCGAGTGCCTGCAAGGCCCTCTGATTGCTGGCCACCTCCACAGTATCCCTGCCCCGCTTAAGACAAAACGCGGAAAGACGCGGGTTCTGCATACAGTATAGCAGCCTGGAGTCCAGTAGCCCGGCATGCACGGTATTGGTGCAAAAGCGATGCTGGAGTTTTACCAACAAGAAGTTGGAAATGCTTGGTGGGTGGGAAGGATCGTGTGGATGATGCAGTGTGAGCTTCCATAAGGTATGGTCTAGGACCCTAGGAACCATCACAATCATAAAGGAAACAAGCACACAAACTCGGGCTTGGGTCAGCAAAAGAGTAGGGATCGTTTGGCCGCAAATGTTTGGGTTGTTTCCTCTACCTCTCGATGTACACATATTCTCAAGTTTTCGGCTTGTTGTGGCTATTTTTTGTCATCGCACATTTGCTTGAAACAATATTGCCACAAAAGACAGAGGAACAGTGAGAAGTTGTTGCGTTCGAGGGTGTTCGCCCTGCAAATGCATCGCTTGCCAAAAGTCAGTTAAACCAATTTAACCTCAATGAGTACGAGTGCCTGGCCTGGTTAGCGTTCCAGATCTGAATTGCAGCTTATTCGTTTTGCCGCCAGGCCACGGTAACACCTTCAAGAGGTTCGGGCTGCTTTGGAGATTTCTCAGACTGAAAGCCTTTCTGCAAACAAAGAAAGTCTCAGACCGGTACATAAAACGGCTTGGAAAGACTAAGCAGAATTGAATAGCTTGAAAGCGCCAAGAGTCTTTCCCAGCCGAATGCTTTTGGGTACTTCAGCAGACATACTGCAGGTAGGTTTTGGTGTCCTTTGAAACCCAGGGGTTGGTTCAGTGAGGTTGTTGGATTTAGTGACTCCCAAAGAGATTCCAAAAGGTCTGCCAGAGGTTCTTTCAGATTCAAATGGTGCTGTGAGCGCGGAACCTGAAGGACAAACTGTGATACTCCACTGCGCTTTCAGGAAGTTGTAGATCTCGCAATTTTTTGTGAACTGCAATGCAGCGCAGGAGAAAAGGACCTGACTAATGGTGCTGGCTGTGAATCATCCGAGATGTGTGATTGTTTTTCTTGAATCGGGGCTTGCAGGTGACGCTGCACTGATCTCCCTTAGGGATTCGGTGCGCAAAGTAGCTTCGGTCAGACTAAGGTGGCAGCAAGCAACGCCACACCGATTTGTAGTCAGTATATAGAGCCAGCAGAGATGCTAGGCAGAGTCAGGTCAATTCGCAATGTTGACACTCTTTGATCGCCCTTCAGAGTGGTCTCATCTATTGGGTTGCCAATCCATCTTAGCCTTGGTTTCACTTTTTCCAGGAAGTGAAAGGGAAGCTCTCACTTCTCTTTGCCTTCTGCTCACATTTTGTGTTTTCAATAGCCACACGTGCTAGCCTGCACTCATCCAGCGCAGCACTTTCTGCTTGTTGTCCCTTCTAAGACGGTGTGCTTGAACCCTGGGCACACCAAAGGAGCAACGTGCAGGAACCGTTGCGTCGCTGGATTTGTGAAGCCTACGTGGAAAGTCTATCCTGCCGGCCCTAGATTTAATGTGATCTTCTATGGAATGTACTGATTCTCAGTTAGACATTGCTCAGACAGGGACGGGTTGAGCCACTTTCCACGCTTTGTGCCCCTCACAAGATAATGCTGCAGCTTGGACTTCGGGTCTTTCATCGGACAGCGCCACAGACGCCATGGTTTGAGAGAAGGGCTGCAATTGGGGCTGCAATTGCTCACGTCCGATATTCAAGCTGACACCAAGACTCAAGCCATAGGACCTATCGTGATTCCCAAAAGGCGCAAGCCAAAAGACGTGTGCATGCCAAGAGGAGTCTGCTGCAGAATCTATTGCTCAATGGAAAGCAAGCTTTCAGCAACATGTTTGGACGCATATCTATGGACAGGCTGTTGGAGAATCTGTTGCGAAGCCGCTGTGGTACGCCCTTGTGCTTGGACAATTCCTATGCTGATGGTGTTGCTACTGCTAGAGATGCCGTGTGTTCATGAAATCAAAAGGAGGGTTTGGACACCGTGCTTAGTTTACTGGGTTCTTGTCATGCCATTTCAATTGTTCTTGCAGATAGAAGGTACTACGAGAACAACATCACTGGCACCATCAACATCCTGAAAGCGATGGAGAAGCACGGATGCAAGTAAGCCATCCGCGCTTGAAGTGGCTGTCCGACCTTCACTGATGTTAGATACAGTTTGTCTTGACAAACGACAGATAAGATAACTGTTTAGTGCTTGCTTTTCAGCGTTTGTTTGCTACTTTTCTGTCTGTGTGCTGTTTTGGTTTGAGAGAATAGATGGGTACGAGGCACACACTGGGTGTACAGGCGCACACACACACAATGGCGCTTGGGTGTACAGCTTCAAGCGTCACATATCCAGCACAAATTGAGCTTGTGCCCCCTAACAAGGTGTGCAGACAGGAAAGAAGGCTACAAACGCTGCAAGAGCAGGATTCATGTAGATGTGTATCCATGTTTACAGCTAAGTACCTGGGCCCATGCGCGCACATACACAGTGCGGACTCATGCATCTCTTAGCTTCAGACACAGGACATCACAGAACCATGCACACACACACACATACACAGAGACACGAATACCGAAAGCAGTCGAAGGCAGACTTGCAGGCATAGGGCCGGCGTGGGGTGCGGCAATGTCGGAAGTTGATGCAGATGTCCTGCTCTCATTTGCTCTCAGCCAACTGGACAATTCGGTGCCATTTGTGCTCAGGTGGCTGCCGCTTTGCGGCAGCTGAAGACAGGAAACTTTGCGGGTCAGGCCGTGGAGCTTTCCATGGCGGGTAGGAGCTCTAGGTCATACCAGGTGTCATACCAGTTTGGAGCTTTGACTTTGTCGACGCGAGGCTGGGCAACAGCAACAAAATTTCCAAAGACCGCGCCCTCCTCCACCTACATGGGAACCAAACAAGGCAGGACATGATTGTTTCGCACGGATATGTGGCATGACGGAGCCACTGGTGAGTCCAATCGATTTCGACCTTCCGACTGTGTGGAGTCCAAGATACAACCTGACCATACCTGACCTAATTTAGTATATAAATCAATATACAATATATATATACTGTATATATATATATATGCTACCCCCACAAAAATACAACGTTTTCAAACAAATTTCTTGCTTGTATGTGAGAGTTGTCATTGTTGATAAAGCAGATGTGTTGAAAGCAGGTTTGTTCTTGATGGCCAAGCAGATGTACAACAAGCCATGTGATAGTGGAATTCCCTGGCAGGCTCAAAAAGATCAAACATTTCAAAAGCCCATAGTCACAAAACCCTGGCAGGCTCAAAAAAAGCAAAAAAACACGTTTTAGCATCTATAGGGGCTTTTTGGTGGGTATAAACTGTTGTTTTTTGCGCCTGACAGTGTTTTTGCAGTTTTTGGTCTACCCGACCTTGCAAAAACACTAGCAGGCTCAAAAAAATGAAAAAATCAAAAGCCCATAGTCACAAAACACTGACAGGCAACAACATTAAAGTTTTAGGATCTATGGGGGCTTTTTGGGGTGTATAGTTTTTTT